AAAGCGCCTACAAGAATGAGGAACTTGGTAATGTGTGCTATTGTGGATCTTGACAAATGCTGCAGCTGAGGGCCCTCTTGGGCACCTGGAGCTGCTTGGCAGATGGTATTATGTTCCTTTCTTCTAAAGTGCCTACAAGAGTGAGGAACTTGGTACTGTGTGCTTTTGTGGATCTTGACCAATCCTACAGCTGAGGGCCCTCTTGGGCACCTGGAGCTGCCTAGAGGATGATATTACGTTCCTTTCTTCTAAAGTGCCTACAAGAATGAGGAACTTGGTACTGCGTGCTATGGTTTGACAGTGGTGGCCCCCAATATTTACCCATCCTTTTTGTCTCAATTTTCTATTGCCAGACAAGTGAAGGAATATCAAAAATGTTATAGTTGTCTCTAGAAGTATCCCTTTGGGATGATTTCTCTTTCCTTCCTGTCCTGGGGACATAAGCATTCCCAAAGTGAGGGAAACCCCCCTCTTATATCTGAACCCATGTCCTCATTAGAAGGTTACTAGCACTCCTGTCTAATGACAACTCTAAAATGTTCGATTCCCAAGATCTGATACTCTGTGGGTGATGGGTGGAAGCTGCACAGCTGCTCTTATCGGCATTCCTAAACCTTGAACAAGCCTTCTCCTACGACCTGGATTTCAGGCCTTTTGTTTTGAGCCCAGGAGCCTAGCTCGTATGTAGTAACGCATGGCGTGCTTCCTTCTGACGTCGGCCCTGGCAGGATTACAACTGATAAGGAGAGTTGTGAAACCGTCCTGTTCTAACCGCAGAAAGCGTCTGTGCTCCCGAGGTCTGCTGAGCGCACTCCGTGGCCTTACACAATCCCAGAAATCCAGCCGAGCCAACAACTCTTTGTGGCCTTATTTTTTTTTTTTTTTTTTTTTTTTTTCGTTCTGACCACAAAAGACAACGCATTTATTTATTTTTTTCTCTTTTTTTCTGCAGCTGTCACCAGAGGAAGAGGAAAAGCGAAGGGTCCGGAGAGAAAGGAATAAACTGGCGGCCGCAAAGTGTCGCAACAGGAGGCGAGAGTTAACGGACAAACTTCAGGCGGTATGTCGGCACGATCTGTTTCCTTTCTTCGTTTTGCCGATGGAGGTGATGAAATTGGTCACAAAGGTTTCCAGTTTCATCACATCTTCTTGAGAATACTGGAGAGTGGGTCCGAGGCTAAAAAGGCAGCCGGGGGGGGGGGGTATAATGAGGAAAAGAGAGCCATAGGCAGCCAATCAGATCAGCTTTGAGTTTCCAATAAAGTGACCATGTGATCAGTGGTGTGTTTCGGTTTTGTGCTACCCTAGGCAACACAAAAATTGGGCGTCCGCCCCCCCTATGGAGAGAGAGTCTGACATTGACCAACAACATCCCTGCCCACCTCCCACCTGAGAGAGCCTTCCACTAACATCCCCCACCCCCCCCAGACGAGAGAGAGAGAAATACACTCCTCTACACCGCTCCAGACGACCCCGGGAACGAGAGTCTGGCTCTCCATACACCATCAAGCAGCCAATGACCTCTCTTGGATCCCACTTGGTCCCCATGCCGCATGTGTCCCTTCTTCCGTGAGCCCCTTTCTTCCAGGAAGGGGGGGGGGTGCTGCCCCCCTGAGAAATGCCGCCTTAGACAAATGCCTTGTTTGCCTTGTGGTAAATACGCCCCTCCATTAGTGTTCTTCGCTCTGATTGGATAAACCCAATGGAGAAGGTCACGACTTTCTGGCCTTCAAAGTGTATTTCCATCTTTAGCCGTCAAATTTGACTCCCCTCCACCCTGAGATTGTATTCCCATTCACACATTGGGGGGGTTATTTACCAAACCTGGAGAGTGCAAAATCTGGTATGACACAGAAACCAATCGGCTTCCAAGTTACGGCCAGGTTCACATACATGCGGGTGGTGCCGCTGCGGATCCGCACAAAAAATCTGTGCAGCCGCACCACCCACACAGAGGAACGCGGGACCCTCAGGTGGGTGCCATTAATTCTAACGTCACGCCGCCCGGACTGGAAATCGCCACCGTCCTGGGAACCTCGGCTGCGTTTTCAGAAGAAGTGCCGGGACTTCCTCCCTGCGTGTCCCAGGGCACGGGAATCCATTCAAATGAACGGGCTCTGGTGCCTGAGCAAAACACGGACTGCAGGTATGCGGATATGTGAACCGGGGGTAACTGAACAAGCTGAATTTAGAAGCTGATTGGCTGCCATGCACAGCTGCACCGGATTCCGATTGCTCCAGTTTTAGTAACTATGCCCCGCATTACCGAAAATGAATTTTAAAATATTTCTTACCTTTCTGGTTGTTTGAAGGAGGATTAGTCCTCCTGCGCACGGGGACGTTTTGAGCCCTCCTGCGCACGGGGACGTTTTGAGCCCTCCTGCGCACGGGGACGTTTTGAGCCCTCCTGCGCGCGGGGACGTTTTGAGCCCTCCTGCGCGCGGGGACGTTTTGAGCCCTCCTGCGCACGGGGACGTTTTGAGCCCTCCTGCGCGCGGGGACGTTTTGAGCCCTCCTGCGCACGGGGACGTTTTTAGCCCCCCTTTTTTTGGCTTTTGACATTTGTTTCTACAGCCAGTAACCCCATGCTGGGGGGCATGTTATCCTCGGTGTCCATACACACATAGACTGGAATCAACGTTTTCTGGCTGGGACATTTTTTTGGCTGGAAAAAAACCCAGAACTAGGGGGCTTCTAGAAGAGTTTTTTACCTGTAAAAATGCTGTAACGCTGAAAAACGCAAACAAGCATTTTTGGACTTTTTTTTTTTGTAAAAAAAAAAAAATTATTAAATTATTATACAATAATATAAAAATTTAAAAATTTAAAAAAAATATATAATTTAGAAAAGAAATAATCATTAAAAAATTGTAAAAAAAAGTTATTAAAAATGTATTATAAAATAATTAAAATATTAAATATAATACAATTTTTTTTTTTAATTATTTTTAATTTTATTATTTTAATTTTTATTTTCTTATTCAGAGCAATTAGAGGGTATAGACTGGGTTGTTTATCGCATAGTACTGCAGGGCTCTGATTATATTTATGTTAAAATGCGGATTGGCAGGAGGACGGCGGGGACATGGGATACATTGCAGGGGAGTCACACTGGGGGTAGTTGGTTGCAATGAGTGAGTGTTGTCACCCCGGGACAAGACGTGTTACTGGCAAGATCAACAAGTGAATATAACACAGCCAATGCAACTATGATATCTCATTGAATGAGATCCTCAACTTAAAACATTCGCTCGGTATGAGCTCATTGCTTACTAGATAATCCATAAAGAGGAGGAGCCTAATGGAAAACATGATTTAAAGCCAAACTCCAACAATTTTTTTTTATTTGGTTAGCCTACAATAAATGTTTTGTCCTGTAATTATTTTGAAGAGAAACCATATCAGACTTTAGAACTCTCTGCACAGAGAAAGTTAAGATGGCCAGTTATATTGTGCAGATTAAATGTGATTGGGACTCTATTCTCTAAGGGCCCCATGTACACTGCAGCTGATAAACGCACATTCAGGAGCTGTTCAGCGTGTTTTTCAGCAGCCCCTGAACTCTCCCTAATGTTTTCCTATGTGTCCGTGTACACATCATCGTTTACAGGCATTTGAGTTTACAGTCGGTTTTTTTGAACGCACAAAACTTGCGTTCAGCAGTCAATTTTATCAGCGTTTCAAACAGAAAACTCATGTAAACGCAGCAAATCGCATTCATAAGCCTTTACGTTTGACATTTTTTTTAACTCTTCCAGTTTCCCAGATGCTGTTCAGAGCCTTTTTTCATTATGAAAAATGCATGCAAAGTGTTTTCAGGGTGCTCAGATGGACAAAACACTGAACACAGGATGTTCCTACCAAGCTTGTCACACATTGTAATGACCAATTCACACCTCAGACCTCTCCCGCCCTTGGAAACAAAAGATATGTTAATGACCATTCACACCTCAGACCTCTCCCACCCTTGGAAACAAAAGGTATGTTAATGACCATTCACACCTCAGACCTCTCCCACCCTTGGAAACAAAAGATATGTTAATGACCATTCACACCTCAGACCTCTCCCACCCTTGGAAACAAAAGTATGTTAATGACCATTCACACCTCAAATTCCTCATGCAGACCCCCTGCCAGGTGGCCTTCTTGGCTCCCTCCAACAGACACCTTTCCCAACCTTGGAAACAAAAGATATGTTAATGACCATTCACACCTCAGACCTCTCCCACCCTTGGAAACAAAAGATATGTTAATGACCATTCACACCTCAGACCTCTCCCACCCTTGGAAACAAAAGATATGTTAATGGACATTCACACCTCAGACCTCTCCCACCCTTGGAAACAAAAGATATGTTAATGACCATTCACACCTCCCACCCTTGGAAACAGACCATTCACACCTCAGACCTCTCCCACCCTTGGAAACAAAAGATATGTTAATGACCATTCACACCTCAGACCTCTCCCACCCTTGGAAACAAAAGATATGTTAATGACCATTCACACCTCAATTCCTCATGCAGACCTCTCCCCCCTGCCAGGTGGCCTTCTTGGCTCCCTCCACCAGACATCTTTTCCCACCCTTGGAAACAAAAGAAATGTTAATGAGCAACTCACACCTAGCTAATCTAAACACATACTGCTGTCTCTGCTTCTACTCTCTGTATTTCTCTGAAACAGACTGAAATAGTTAATAATAATTTACCACTTTTCAGTGCATTCTGGGCATTTGGGAGGTTCTCCTGTGCTTATCTTTAAAAACGCTTCTAAATGCAAACGTGTTATGCAAATGCGGCTAAACAGTCGTTTTTTAACGTACGTTTTCCAGCAGTTTCCATCGTTCAGAAGTGTCCCGTGTACATGGGGCCGAAAAGTTCTTCCTTTTGACTTAAACTCTTTTTTTTTTCCTTCTAGGAAACAGAAAAACTGGAACAAGAGAAGTCTGGACTGCAGAAGGAAATCGCCGAGCTGCAAAAGGAAAAAGACAAACTGGAGTTCATGCTGGTCGCCCACTCGCCCATGTGTAAGATTCACCCGGAAGAGAGGACGAGCTCCACCCACAACTCCCACCCAGTCCGCGCAATGATGGGCAACAGAGTAGTCATCAAACAGGAACCGGTTGACGACGATCTCGGCGTGTCCTCTGTCACCGCCCATGACAAGTCTCAGAGATCCGTAATTAAGCCGATCAACATCGGAGCCAACTTTTTCAACGAGGAGCCTCTCAATACGCCGGTGGTCATGTCTACTACGCCTCCAAGCACTCCAAACACCGCCAATCTCGTATTCACCTACCCGAGTGTACTGGATCAGGAATCTTCTGCCTCTCCCTCCGAGTCCTGCTCTAAAGCTCACCGTCGAAGCAGTAGCAGCGGCGACCAATCGTCTGATTCCTTGAACTCCCCCACCCTATTGGCCTTGTAACAAAGACTTCGGTTCTTTCTTGCATATCAGGAGATGTCTAGAGGTTAGACAGCTGGTGGCTGGAGCTTCCCAACCATGGACATTTAAAAAAAATAAATTAAAAAAAATAAATAAAAACATATATTGCAACTGGATCGCCCATAGTTCAGATGCTTCAGTGTAGCTTGGACATTCTTGGGTTCCAAATGAAGGCTACAGAAGACCAGAGGTTTCATCCTTCACAATAGTGGACTCCCATGTGGGCCCAAGGTGGGGTTAAATTATTTCCAGCAGCTTGTTGACCCAAGCCATTTCACTTACTCTATACTGGTCGAAGATTACTGTCTCTTTTTTTTTTTTTTGTTCTTTTTGTTCTGGGCACTTTAAGGGAATATCTATTTTGAGGATTTACTCTTCACTGGATGAAGGTACAAATGATGTATTTTATTATTAATTTGTTAAAACTAGGTCTAAGACTTTGCCATGCTGTAAACTGAAAAAAAAAAAAAGCCATGGAAAATTTTGGTTGCACCCAATCACTACTGGAGAAAATTCCACGCCAGCAAAGCTCGTGCCACGCCAAAGACTGTTCCGGAACACCGCGTTCTGGTAAACCTGGAAGAGTTTAGGAGAAGGAGGATCAGGGATTGGAAACAGTTGGTTGAAAAAAAAAAAAAAAAAAAACTTGGCAATATTACATGCCCTTGTGCCTTTTCGGATAAAAGAGAATTTCTAATGAACGGTTGACAATCTGTTTTGGGAATCTGAAGTATTGTCTTTGTTTTAAAGGTCTTAGTTTAGCACATTTTTTGGGAAGGGTTTGTGCGCCCCCACTCCCTCTGCCTGTTGGGGACCATACTCAAGGGTTCGTGCCCCCACTCCCTCTGCGGACCCCCCAAGGGTTCGTGCGCCCCCCTCCCTCTGCCTGTAGGAGACCATACTCAAGGGTTCATGCGCCCCCAATCCTTCTACCTGTTGGGGACCATACTCAAGGGTTTTGTGCGCCCCCACTTCTTCTACCTGTTGGGGACCATACTCAAGGGTTCGTGCGCCCCCACTGTAGGAGACCTTCAAGGGTTCATGCGCCCCCAACCTACCTGTTGGGGACCATACTCAAAGGTTTGTGCACCCCCACTTCTTCTACCTGTTGGGGACCATACTCAAGGGTTCGTGCGCCCCCACTCCCTTCTACCTGTTGGGGACCATACTCAAAGGTTTGTGCACTCCAACTCCCTCTGCCTGTTGGGGACCATACTCAAGGGTTTGTGCACCCCCACTCCTTCTACCTGTTGGGGACCATACTCAAAGGTTCGTGCGCCCCAACTCCCTCTGCCTGTTGGGGACCATACTCAACTTTCTCAGTTCATTACAAACTTTTTGCAGTGTGAAATAAAAAAAAAAAAAAAAAAGGAGCTGGCATCTTAATTGGAAAGAACCGGTGATGGTTCCGGGTTGTGTCGCCAGTTGGGGTCCTTCATCCACGTTTTTATACCTTCTCTTTGTACTTTGATGTCTCCTAATGGCGAAGTATTGATTAGCAGAGCTTACGAAGGGATGTATTGGGAAGACGTTTGATGTCTCCATATTTGGTACCTATCTCTTGAGGGATATTGAGGGCAAATCGTAAAGTTTTTGAGGGCAGTTGTACATTCCTTGGGAGTACGCCTAAATTCTAATTCTCAGAAGACGCTGGGGTTTTTTTTTTTTTTAATTTTAGACTCTTATATTATCCTTTTTTCAAAAGGAGTAGGTTGGTGTACAACCAATGGGAGCTGTCAAAGTGGCACAGATCCAGCCAGCTGAAGGTCGTCCAAATGGACGTAGCCTTGATAAAATAGCTTGGATGGGTGTGTTGATTCCCCCCCCCCCCCCCTTTTTTTTTTTTTTTTTTTTTGAATAAGGGAATTTTGGGAAAAGTGTTTGTACTGAATTGTTGTTCTGTATTACGTGACACCGATTCATTGCCATTGTGTACCACGCTTCTGCGTTAGTGTTGGCCATGTTTTCTTGGGGGGGGGGGGGGGGAGGGAAAGTAAGACATAGTATTTTTGTACTATATCCCTGCTGCTAACAAATCCTTTTTTTTTTTTAATTTTTTTTATAAAAGTTCAAGTGTCTTTTTTTTTTTTATGTGACTCATCGGCCAAAATGGTCGGCATTGAAACACAACCCAAGGACAGACCTAGTCATGCTAATGAGTCGCTCATTCCTGTGGTCACAGATCCTTCTATAGAAAGCACTTGAGAGGCTTCACTCTATCTGGATGTCAGTCTAGTACAATCGGTATGAGCCCCCCCCCCCCCCCCCCAAAAAAAAGAATGGTTTTTGTCTCATTCTTGTCACAAAGGAAGCGATTTTCTAGAACACTTTTTTGAATGTCAGTTTTGCACTGTGATAACTTATTAGTGATGCACTTGTCATTGTTCTTTCATTAAGAAAGGCCCCCATATAAAATAATAAAAAAAGAAAAAAAAAAATCTATATATTTTTCCAAAATTCTTGATGGTTTCCTGGTCTATATTTTTTTGTAAGATGATGTCGCTATTGAGTCCTGTTTTTTTGTAAACTGGTTTATTGCTGTCAAAGCACAATTTCTGAGGCCCAGAAAGGGCGCAGTGTAGTAACATTTGTAGTCCCAATTATAATTATTATTATTATTTTTTTAATTCATACAAAATACCAGTCTGGGCAGTACAGAGGTATCATGCCAGCAAGAGCTCAGAGTATAATATACAGTAACCGTGTATAGGGATGGGTTATGTATCAAGAAATTGTCCCGTATCGATTTTTTAGGACCACAAAACCTTAAAAGATCGTCTTTTAAATAAAGTCTTAATGTCTTTTTGTAGTTCTGTATGTCAAAGCACAATGATTGGATGTGAAATCTCTCATCCCCTGAAGAGATCCTGTATGTTGGGAGATAACTATTTTGCTTGTAACTTGTTTTAAATTTACTAGTTTGTTATTTAAAGCAGAACTAAAGTTTTTTTGTTTTTTTTTTATTGCACACACTCTGGAAATGGCATCAATGTACGCACACTTGCAAAACTATGGGGTCTGCATGTACATTTTTTGTTTCGGTGCAAATGTGGGTAAAATGAAATTCTTTTGAGCTTTCCTATCTCCGGGTTGAATGTTCATAAAAAAAAAAAAGATTGGTTTGGGAAAGTACCCCATTATGGCCAGCAGATGGAGCTGATGATTGTAGTAAATATGTCGTATTTAACCCAGGGGTGTCCAAACTATGGCCCTCCAGGTGTTGAGGAACTGCAAGTCCCATGAGGCCTTGCAAGACTCTGACAGCTGCAGGCAAGACACCCAGAGGCATGATGGGACTAGTAGTACTTCAAAACAGCTGGAGGGCCATAGTTTTGACACCTGTGGCCTAGGGGGTCTACAAACTAGTGGCCCTCCAGCTGTTGCCAAACTACAAGTCCCATGAGGCATTGCAAGATTGACAGTTACAAGCATGACTCCCAAAGGCAGAGGCATGATGGGACTTGTAGTACTTCAAAACAGCTGGAGGGCCATAGTTTGTAGACCCCCTAGGCCACAGGTGGCAAACTGGTGGCCCACCAGCTGTTGCAAAACTACAAGTCCCATCATACCTCTGCCTTTGGGAGTCATGCTTGTAGCTGTCAGTCTTGCAATGCCTCATGGGACTTGTAGCTTGGCAACAGCTGGAGGGCCACCAGTTTGACACCTGTGGCCTACGGGGTCTACAAACTATGGCCCTCAAGCTAAAAGTCCCATCATGCCTCTGGGAGTCTTGCCTGTGGCTGTCAGAGTCTTGCAAGGCCTCATGGGTCTTGCAGTTCCTCAACAGCTGGAGGGTCGTAGTTTGGACACCCCTGATGTAACCCCTTCCCACCGGGCCCTTTGAGGTCCGAAATGCCTGGAGGTGGAGGTGGGCAGGTCGATCTTCTGACTGCTGTGTTTGGCAGTCACATGATTGGAAAGCTGCCGATCAGGAGCTTTTTGGTACCTGCCGGGTGCTGTGCTGAGGGTGCTCTCGGCACCAAAGAATGTTTACAAAGGGCCAATGCCTATGCGGGCCGCTTGGCACATGCCTATGAATTATTCTTATCATTAGTTCCATCTAGTGGCCATAATGCGGTATTTTCCTGATTCACTCTTTTCGGCATGAATGAAAAATATCCATTCTGGAGAGAGATCATCCTAGTAACTTTTGATTTTTTTTTTTCCCCCCATTTGCACAGAATGAATGCACACGCGGCTTCACAGAGTGAATATCTATGTGAATCTTTTTATAAATGCATCCCTTGCACCTTTTCCTAAAGTTTCCCCTTCTCCTGTGCAGGACCTGGGATTCTTTGACCTCTCGGGTTCAGCTCTGCTAGCTGCAGGTCATAGGCTCCTCCCTCTTACTGTGTCATCACTGCACATAACATTGTGGCCCCCTCCCGGTCCCACCTTCTCGTTTGATTGATGGCTGCATTTAATTTAAAAAAAAAAGTAACAAGCGGCTGATAAAAGAGAAGCTGGGACGAATGATTGGGGTAGAGAGAGAACCGCCCTATCACATGCCCGGTTCCTGGCATAGAATAAAATAGCCCCCCCAGAGAACGTCCTGCAAGGATGACATCACTTCCCTCTGATGGTAGTGCCACCGTCACCGCTGTTGCAGGCGGGGTCTCCAAACTATGGCCCTCCAGGTGTTGAGGAACTGCAAGTCCCATGAGGCCTTGCAAGACTCTGACAGCCAGGCAAGACTCCCAGAGGCAGAGGCATGATGGGACTTGTAGTACTTCAAAACAGCGGGGATGGCCATAGTGTGGAGACCCCCTAGGCCACAGGTTTCAAACTGGTGGCCCTCCAGACTGTTGCCAAACTACAAGTCCCATGGGCATTGCAAGTGACAGGAGACCCCTAGGCCACAGGTTTCAAACTGGAGGGCCATAGTTTGACCCCCCCCCAAACTAGTTGCCCCCCAGCTGTTGCCAAACTACAAGTCCCTTGAGGCATTGCAAGATTGACAGTTACAAGCATGACTCCCAAAG